GAACTGCGCCTGACAGTAGACATTTTCTCACAATCCCACATATTCTGCTTTGTTAATAGTTTATAAATTGTATCTTGCTACTCTTTATGATCTCTTCAAGAAATAGATGGTTATGCTTATTATTACTTCCACTGTACACAAGCAAAGAATATTATGTTATGAGCTCATTGAGGGCCTGCTTTTTGCCCAGAACATGGTACAGTGCCCTGGCTATTGAGTATGCCCAGTCACTAACACAAAGCAGCTGACCTGGCCTTTCCTTACAAATATAGTTCCTGTTTCAGTAGATGATTAATCCTTAAGAAATCATGGTAGTACCTTTGCAGAGTGGGTAGGCCTACTTTTAGGGGTGGATATAACCCTGAAATTGATTTTTTCTTACTTTATATGCTTTTAAACTTTTTTTGGAGGGGTTTAGGGAGATTTTGGAAAACTGAATACCACACAAATGTAAGATATTATGTATTTAAAATCTTTGTTCTCAAGAGGTTTGGAAGCATTGCTTCTACTTAGATGGTAGATGATCACAGTGAAATGAGCCCGAAGTTGTTTGTTCCAGAGTATTAAGAAAGCTTGCTTCTAGATACACATGTGGCGATAGAGTTGCTGGCTGGCTATGAGATTCAGTGAACTATACCCCAATCTTCCCAGGCATTTTGATACATTGCAGTTAGCCAAGTTACTTCATAAGGCCATCTTATAAATTCAGCAGGGAAGAGAGTCCATCCTATCTTAGAAATAAGGAAGCTGAGCTCCAGAATGGCAACATGGCTAGTAAGTAGCAGTCAAGATTAGAACCTAGTTCTCTAGGTTTTGATTCGTTCTTCCTCTGTAGATCTATCCTTGCCCCTCGATTTGGGTGCTTGTCCCAGTGGAACCTAGCGCAATGCTTTCTTTCTGACTGTCCCCACACCACCCATATGCTTGTTCATGAGGCCACCTCTGAGTGCCCGCCAGTGTTTGGGAGTGCTCTGGAAAGCCCCCTTAGTCATCCTTCACAAACTCCCATTTTGACCACATGTCCAGAGCTCCAGCTGTCTAGCTTTGCCCTGAATCCTGGTGTTATTGTGCTAGATTTGGAGATTGAAATTAATAAGCGAATTATGGCTTTGTGGGTAGACTTCCACTTGGCAGAATCTAGCTCTCACACCTGGGTGGTTTGCAGCAGGGATCTCCCTCTCCATGTCCTGCCCTATTGAATCTAACCTCCATTCTTACCATGAGGCCTCACAGATCAGTGTGCAAGCTGACTTTGACATCTGGTATTCAATTTACAAGCATTTATTGAAGGAAAGGCCCAACAACAAAAATTATCAGGACTTCTCAATCCTCATTTAGTGTTTTCAGTTGATTAATGACACATATGACTTTGTGTTCTTCATGTTATCCAGCTGTAAAATGAAATAGTACCACATATTAACTTTAATGAGTTAGGCAAATACGTGTATTGTTACAGTATTGATATTCTTTATAAGAAAGCTATTGTAAGAGCCCAGCTACCAAAAATAGTGAAGAAATTACCTGGATATTAGCAAATTTCAGGAGCTTAACCTAATTTCAGTAACAATAAAGTGAAACTGTTTTAATGCTAGGTAGCTCAGTTTAAAAGGCATTTTCTCTTCTGTTTCAGGAAATGTGGCCATAACATTTTCTTAAGAGAATCTTTTATAAAGGAACATATTGGGGCTACTATTTTTCAAAATAGGTCTTATTTGAATAGCTTAGATAAAATGTGGTAAAATTTTATTAGCAATAACTGTGAGCAAGAGTAACCAACAAGTAGGCATTAGTGACATTACTGAATTTCACAGCAGAAAAGTCTGAAAGAAATTTGGGAGGGTCAGAGGAGGAGTGTGATGGAAATAGTGCCCTTGACAGCTGAGGGCACTGAGAGGGGTACTAAGAGGAGAGTGTGTTCTCTTTGTAAATTTCTTGTTGAGTACTAATGTCCCTGCTATCTGCTCTGTTTGGTTGTTCCAGGCAAAGAAGTGGTATGTGCAATAGTGCTATGACAGTCTTTAGTAAATATTTTCAATCTGAGAAGAGTGGATCATTTAAAATTCCTTTTTGACTTAACTTTATTTTTTTGAATAGGAAAAACATTCACAGGATTCAAAAGTTGAACCATATAAAAAGCATACTCAGAGAAACCTCATTCTCATCCCTGTCTCTGCCACTCCCAACCCATCCCCCATAGGGTCACCATTTTCATTAGTTTTTCCTATGATTCTTTTTGTAAAAATAGCCAAATGTACAATTTTCCTTTTCCATAAAAAGTAGCATACTAGGCACACCCTTTTGCATATTGCTTTTCCGTTAACACTGCATCTTGGAAATCATCTCATACCAGTTCTGAGAGACCTCATTCTTGCTGGCTGTTTAGTACTCAATTGTGTGGATACACTCTTGTTCCTTTAACCAGCCTACTATGAGTGGGCATTTACGTCATTTCCAGGATTTTGCTATCAGAAATAATGCCACCATAAAAAAACATTGTGCATATGGTATTCCATATTTGTGGAGAGAGAATCTGTGATTGAAGAGAAACACATTAGTAGTTTTTTAGAAATTGCTGAATTTCCTTCCCAACAGCCGTGTATGAGAGTGCCTGGGGAGCTGTGCTTTATGTAACATTTCAGCGCTTTTATGTAACCTGTTGTAGCTCTGAAGCTCATCCTCCCACAGGTTTATGTACACACACCTGTGTATGTTCACACCCACCCACCACGTGGGCAGCTGAGCATTGAGGAGGTCGAGGCTGGGAGAGCTGCCTTCCCCAAAGTCTGTTAATGGCAGAGACATGAGCAGGTTCTTGATGGCTTGGTCTCGTTGTCTTCCACCATCTTATAGTCATAGGACAAAATGAGGGAGGCAAAATGAGGGAGGACAAAATTGGTGGTGTGCAAAGTAGGTTACTCAGGGTAATATTGATGAGTCTAGGAGAAATAATGCCCATGGTTGTTAATTTTGCTGCCATAATGAAACTTTGTGACTTGGAACAAGACGCCTATTAAGGGCCCAGTTTTTTAATCTATAAAATGGTATTAGTCTTTGAAGTGGTATTCCTAATATTCACATACCAAGAAAAAATCTTCAAAGGCAAAACATAATATTATTTTTCTTATTACCTTAATAGTTAGGAGATGTGGTGCTGGGATCCCAAACAAGTGGCTGCTTCAGATTAGGGAACTCTTTAAATAAAGGGATATCCCACAGTAGACAACCGTGGGTAGGGCAGCAGTCTTCATCTTCTGCACCATTCAGGCGTCACTGGCCCTCACTCCTGGGTCTGTGGGACTGAGTCTTGGTGGAGATGCTTGTAGGAGGCATCAGGGCAGCAGGAGGGGAAGGGGTTTCAGCCTTGAGTCCTGGTGTTCTCTGAGCTTCAGGGCTGCATCAGGGGAGGCTGTTTCTTGATTGTGTGGAGCTTCAGTGTCAAGTTCCAAGAAAGCGTACCTGTCTCTGGTGGTGATGAAGAATAAAGAAGAAACATTTAAAATGCCACCGGGAAGAAAGACCTGGTTACTCAGTTTATCACAGAAGACTCTACTGAGATGAATTGTAATTTAGGGCAGAGACCTGAAATTACTCTTCCTTGCCAAAATAAATTGATTTCTTTGGCTGTCTGAACTTCATTTCTTGAACTGGACAGGAGCTAACATAGTCTAAATTAAACTCATTTTCGATTAATAAAACTGGGTCATTTTGGGCTGCCTGTGTGTGCTTCTGAGTGTCTTAAAGCACATTTAAAAAAGCCCACTTTTGTTTCACTCTCTTTTCATAACTCATCTGATTTAGCCAGCATAACACATAGCATTTGCCCTCACCTTTCCCTTGGCATTTCACTGTAGATTTAGGGTCTGTTTCTGAACTTCCTCACAGCTCTCAGGCAGACTGCGGCAGGAGGGCATTGCCATATACCTGCTAGGGCTGGGCAAAGGCCAAGGAAGGAGCAATCCTGACCAGGTCTCAGGGAGCTGACCTGCCTGCCTGCCCCAGGGGAGGAGGATGTGGTAGTGGGCAAGACAGTTAATTCCTGCCTTGCCCAAAGAGAGCTTTGTTGTCATGGTGCCTTTCCTCATTTTCCTGCTGCTGGTAGCTTTGCGCTATAATATTTTGAAGGTGTTATTTACACACAGGCCAAAGAACTCGATCATGGAGGAAGAAAAGTTGTGATTTAAAAAAAAGATAATGGCACGAGTATAATGATTTTAGAGCAGTCTTGTTCAGATAAGTCAGAGCATTTTTGCTTAGAGCTCTCACTCAGCAGTTGGCGCCATTGGCTTCCTCCCACTTGTTGGAGGTGTGTGACATAGTCAAGCCTCGAGTGTGACATTGTACCTACTCTGCCCTACCTCTAGAATGTCAAGTGTTGGACTTGCTTGGAAAGCACAGGGGAGGCTCCTATTGTCTGCCCTTGTCTCCCTCCTCCTTCTTTCTCATCCCTGAGAATGAGAGAGTGCAGGAGGCACCACTGATGCTGGGGAGTGAATCCTGACTTAGAGACTCCAACAGATGTGGGTCCCCACTGGAGGATCAATGATTTGAATATGGCTTTTAGAATATTATGAAATATAAATACCTAGGAATGTTAAAACTATGGGAAATGTCTTTCAAAAAACATTGTTGGAAAATGTAATCTTTGTGATACTTTATTTCTATTATTCTTTAGATATCTGAAATATTGTACCATGTGACTTAAAAAACGGATTGTCTTTAATTTACCTTTTTAATGAATTGGTCACGCTAAGTGTATTTAGAGATATGAAAGACTAGAAAAATAATAGGGAAATAGATGTTTTCCTCCCTTTTAAAAAACTTAAAAGAGTAAAAGTCACGGTGGGAGTGGATCTCCTGAATTCATTGTCTCTCCCAAATGCCCTGCTTTTCACACTTTAAGCTGTATTCACTCATCCCTCCCTGTTTCTTTTTGTGAGATCTTTTCAACAGCATGCAGATTACCTACCACTGATGAAGGTTTTTCTTCCTTCTATTTCCAGTGCACAGAGGCCAAAAAACATTGCTGGTATTTTGAAGGACTCTATCCAACATATTATATGTAAGTATTTGCATTCCTCTGTTGGTTTAAGTCTGTGGTCACATCTTTCTCTGGGAATTATTTCTTTAGTAGATCATAGGACTGGTTATGGGATGGAGAAAGCCCTGTCTTGGGAGGCCTTTACCCCTAGTTTCATCTGCATCTACTCGTGAATGAGCAGGCAGCCTCCCTGAGGACACTCAGACCAGTTCCTTTGAGGACAGCATGAAATACTGGGTGCTATGTTCTCTGATGCATTGTTAGCTCATACGTGATTGGTCAAAGGGGCAAGATGTCTGTACAAGGCCAGAGTTATGTTGGTTTATACAAATTTTGGTAGGCAAAGGAAGCAAGGGTAGTAGGAGTAGAATTTTGAACTTGAACAGGACAGGACAAAGTTCTCAGCCCCACTGCTGTGACTGTGTGTGTGTGAGGTCTCAGTGATCACCTGGCCCTGGGCCCACTCCCTAGCTGGGTGCAGCCACAACCTTGCATGGTTCTTCCTGTGCCCTCAGCACCTGCCAGTCTTACTGTAATTAAGGCATTGCTGCCTTTTCACCCTATTGTTTTCTTGTATTTTTAATATCTGCTATTTAGCTACTAGCTATGCTGAGCCACCTGCCTAGGTGGCCAGATTAACTCTCCAGGTTATCAATTATTATTTTTGATTGTATTTTGAAGTTGTGTAGGTTTTGAGTGGAATGCCCTCAACCAATTTTTCCCAAAACTGTTTTTAGTATTGAATTTGCAAAACATGAACTTTTTCAGTAATGCATATATAATCATATTATAGCAGAAGCACTATATATTCTAGCGTATAGGGAGATTGGACAGGAAATACATATTAAGTCAAGAGGATTATTTCTTAATTGGCCAGGATGTACATTGTCTTACCTGTCCTTTTTGGGGAGTTTCTAATCTTGAAGAGACAAATGTAGGAGGAGGAAGGCTGCCTGGCTGTCAGTGGGGATGAAGCACAGAGAAATGGACAGTTTTCCTGCCTTGGTTTCCTGTTGACAAGCCAGAGTCCATAATGTCCCACAGAAAGCCTGTGTGGCTGCAGAAAGACACTTGGAAAATAAAGCAGCACCATAAGGACTTTGATTCTAATTACAGAGTTGTCATGTTGAAGAAAATTGGTTATGGGATAACAGAGAGATAAAATGTTTTGGTTTTTCTTAGTACGGTGAATTTGCCTTGGTAAACCTTAGTTCCATGATTTGTCTTCTTAGGCTAGTGTGGATCAACCATATCTTCTTATGTGTTCTTCCTTGAAAGCAGACCTTTCTCAAATTGTTTTGTAGGTCAGCTGATGAACCCTTTCCTGGTTTTTCAGAGGTTGGGAGTCAGAGATCATTGCTGTTCTGTATTTACTTGCTCATTTGTTCCTTTATTCATTTATTTATTCACTACATATTTTTGAAAGTATTTTTGCATTAACAAAATACGAAGACAGGCCCTGTTCTTGTCACTCAGCTCTGCTGGTTTGGATTCCTTTCACCTCTCTTCTCTACTATGGTGAAGGGAAGGGTCTTGAAAATTAAAAAGTAAAATCACTCTGTTATTAGTGAAGCTCAATATAAAAATAACAATAGGTAATATTTGTTGAGGACTTAATACAGACTAGGTGTTGTTGTATGCCCCTTACGTGAATTAATGTCATTTAACCCCATAGCCGCTTAAAAACCACAACCATACACACTAGTCTTGAGTCTACCTCTGATCTTTCTGTTTCTCTCTTCTCTGTTCCCACCGCCTTCACCTGAATCCACGCCTCTGTTTGTGCTTATCTCAACTGTTGGATAAACTTCTTTTTCCCAGCTTTACTGAGATATGATTGACATAACATTGTGTAAGTTTAAGTTGTACAGTGTGTTGATTTGATATACTTATATGTTGCAAAATGATTACCACCATAGCTTTAGCTAACACCTGCATCATGTCACATAGTTACCATTCCTTTTTTGTGGTGAGAACATTTAAGATTTACTCTCCTAGCAACTTCAAAATATATAATGCAGTATGGTTAACTATAATCACCATGCTGTACATTACGTCCCCAGAACTAATTCATCTTGTAACTGGAAGTTTGTACTCTTTGACCCATATCTCCTCATTTTCCCCCTCCCCAGACTAGCAACCACCATTCTATTCTGTTTCTATGATTTTGACTTTTTTGGATTCCACACCTAAGTGAGATCATACAGTATTTGTCGTTCTTGGTCTGACATTTTCCTTAGCATAATGCCTTCAGGATACATCCATGTTGTTACAAATGGCAGAATTTCCCTCTTTCTCATCGCTGAGTAATATTCTGGTGTGTGTGTGTGTGTGTGTGTGTGTGATATCTTTTTTACCCGTTCATCCACTGGTGGGCACTTAGGTTGTTTCTGTATTTGGCTGTTGTGAATAATGCTGCAATGAACATGGGAGTGCTGACATCTCTTTGAGATCCTGTTTTCGTTTCCTTTGCATATATACAGAAGTGGGATTGCTGGATCATATAGTGGTTCTATTTTTAATTTTTGGGGAAACCTCCATACTGTTTTCCATAGTGGCTGCACCAATTTACATTTCCCCCAACAGTGTAAAGGGTTCACTTTTCTCCACATTCTCACCGACACTAATCTCTTGTCTTTTTGAGGATAGCCATTCTGACGGGTGTGAGGTGGTATCTCATTGTTTTGATTTGCATTTCCCTAATGATCAGTGATGTTGAACACCTTTTCGTGTACCTGTTGGCCATCTGTATATCTTCTCTGAAACACTGTTAATTTAGTTCCTCTGCCCGTTTTTTGATCGAATTACTTTTTCTTTCTTTTTGCTATTGATTTGTATCTGTTCCTTGTATATGTTGGGTATTAATCCCTTATCAGATATATGGTTTGCAAATATTTTCTCCCATTCCATAGGTTTCCTTTTCATTTTACTGATTGTTTCTTTCACTGTGCAGAACTTTTTCATTTGATGTAGTCCCTTTTGTTGATTTTTGGTTTTGTTGTTTGTGATTTTGGTGTCACTTCCAAAAGATCATTGCCAAGACCGGTGTTGAGGAGCTTCTTCCCTATGTTTTCTTCTAGGAGTTTTATGGTACCAGGTCTTATGTTTAAGTCTTTGATCCATTTTGAGTTAATTTTTGTCAGTGGTGTAAGATAAGGATCCCATTTCATTTTCCTGCATGTGTTTCTCCATTTTTCACATGATCATTTGTTGAAGAGACTATCCTTTCCCCATTGAGTGTTCTTGGCTCCCTTGTTGGGTGTTAGCTGAATATGCAAAGGTTTATTTCTGGGCTCTCTGTACTATTCCATTGATCCATGTGTCTATATTTATGCCACTACCATACTATTTTGATTACCATAGCTTTTTAATATAATTTGAAATCAGGAAATGTGATGCCTCCAGCTATCTTCTTTCTTTGTTGTGAGTCCCATGAGGGCAAGGACCACAACTTTTAAATATTTGAACTCTCTGCCTAGGGCAGTGCCTGGCACACAGTGAACATCCCTGAACATTGAGTGTATGCATTTCCTTCTGGTCCCCACCATACAGTTAACATTCACTGTTTCCCAGTTCTCTGTCTGGCAGACTCCTCACTGCCTGGGAAGAATTTGTTCCTCCTCCTTCATTTTGTCTCTGATACAGCATCTTGGATGTTCTCCACACAGTATTGTATGTCCTGTGAGTGCTTCCTAGATGGGACCGTAACGTGTACATATATTGAACCCCAATACCTGGCACAGTGTGTGGCACTCATGTTGGTCTTTAGTTCACACAGCTTATTTTCTACCAGCATGCTTCTCCCTGTTTTTATTTCCCATATTTTGGCACCTTTTCCCTAATCATAGATTTTAAGTGCTCTGGAGTCCAGTAGATCAGGGTTCAAATATTTGCTCTATTATTTTTCTTTCATTGAGGTGAAATTCACATAACAAAATCAGCCATTTTAAAGTGAACAGTGCAGTCGCATTTGTGTAATCACAGTGTTGTGAAGTCACTACCTTTATCCAGTTCCAAACGTTCCATCACTCTGCTCTATGCATTCCAGCCCTTCACCTTCTCAGTTAGCTTCTTTGTGAGATGTGAACAGGAGTGCTGACCTTCTGGTGTGTAGCATGGGGCCTGTGCATGGTCAGCACAGAAATCATATACAAGTATATACACACCCAAGGCCAGCTTGCATCTTTTCTCTGTGTGTACATGAAATTGGTACTGCTACACTGAACTTGCACTTTCCTGCACCAAGAGGGATGCCAGTGTGCTGACATACCCCTGTGCTCTGTGGTGCCGAGGAGGAGAACTGTTGCTTTCTGTCCACATCTAGGCTGTTGGGATATTTTATGCATAAAAGCTCTTCTCCCTGCTTTCCATCATGTAAGGGTAATAAGCATTTTTATCCAAGGGGAGTGAGGAGAAGTGGCTTAGATATATTCTACTTCGTCCAAGGTTATGTTGCTTAAGGATAGGTTTGCTGCAGGCCACACAGTAGCCACAGAAAGATCACAACCCTAACCAGAAGCACTTGGGCCTGTGGAAGACATGGGAACAACTCCGCTCTTCCTCAAAGCCAACTCTACTGTGGTTTCTGCAGAGCTGGCACAGATGGTGATGGAGGTAAAGTAAACTCATGTCCAGCTGCAGCCTACCTTCACTAGGGCCCTGGGCATCAAGATGTAGCATTCCAGGTTAGTGCCATGTGGTCTCCATTCTGCACCAGACCCCCCTTGTGACGCATACTTAGTGTACAAGGTACTGCTCAAGGGGTGAAGATGACTGCTCCTCGTTCATCAGTCCACAGACACTTACTGAGTGTCTGCCACATGTCATTGCTGAGATATGGTGCTGCAGGCCAGGGAAGGTGCCATGCTCCAGGGAGCTGTGGTATGATAATGTATAATTGGCCAGTTATTTTTGAAGCACCTTTATCATTAAATTTAAAAACCCTGAGTTATAACAGATCTCATTTAAAAAATATATTCCTAGTGTATTCTACCTTTTTATTTCTTCTGGGTAAAGTGCTT